ATCGATTAATAATCTTTTCAAGAAACTAGTTCAAAAATAGATTATTTTACGTTATTATGTCATCGACTGGGACATTGCCATTTGGCATGTTCTAAAAGGTTCAAACAAAGTATTAATTTCAATAACTAATATTGTAATGTCGTTTACCTGGTTCAGTTTGTTGCAGTCATGATTCATTTAATACTCAGTTTCTTTCATATATTGTTGACAAAACCGCCGCCATACACTCGAGTCATAAACATTTTCAGTTTGTAACATTTCTGATTTTCTTCTATTAACTTTTCGTTCCACCTGTCAAGGTTCACTCCAAATGCTATCCAGTAGGCCTATGCTACTGGCATAAATTTGGCCTGACGTTGAATGTTCGACATTCGCAAATCTAGGGACGGTCTCTAAAGTTACATGCGACATTGGTATACACTTTTCTAACTTCAATAGCATTTGAGGGGAATGACTTGCAGTCACACAACCAACCGTAAAGTCTTCATGTAGGTCTCAGTAAAAATTGCTATTTATTCTTTAGCCTACCGAATGGACAGAAACAGAAAATGCATCAAAATTGAAAGCTCAATATAATTTGAGGGGAGTGACGTACAGTCATAAAACCAACTGTAAAGTGTTCATGAAGGTCTGTTATAATGCACACTTTTAGATTTTTTAGATTTATGAAAATAAACTGTCAAATCATATGTAAATATTGCAATGTATTTCATTACAGAATAGGCACAAATACAATATATTTATCATCATTTAAAGCTCAATAGCATACGAGGGGAATGACTTACAGTCATAAAACCAACTGTAAAGTATTCATGTAGGTGTCAACTATAATGCACACCTTTTATTTTTTTTATATTTATAAAAATAATATAGTTTTAATAAATATAGTTTTTCATTACCTAATGGGCACAAACAGAAAAAAATACATCATAATTTACAGCTTAAATTATACATAGCAAAATAGCATTCGAGGAGAATGACTTGCAGTCATAAAACCAACTGTAAAGTGTTCATGTAGGTCTCAGTTATAATGCACACTTTTTAGATTTTTAAATATTTATTACTGTAAACTGTCAAATCGTATGGAAATATTGATATTTTTCATTACTGAATGGGCACAAACACAAAATATATAAAAATTTCAAGCTCAATAGAATTTGAAGAGAATGACTTACAGTCATAAAACCAAATGTAAAGTGTTCATGTAGATCACAGATATAATGTACACCTTTTAGATTTGATATATTTATTAAAATAAACTGTCAAATCATATGCAAATATTGCTATTTTTTATTACTGAATGGGGACAAACACAAAATATATCAACATTTAAAGCTCAATAGCATTTGAGGGGAATGACTTACAGTCATAAAACCAACTGTAAAGTGTTCATGTAGGTCTCAGTTATAATGCACACCTTTTAGATTTTTAATATTTATTACAGTAAACTGTCAAATCATATGGAAATATTGCTATTTTTCATTACTTAATGGGCACAAATACAATATATATCATAATTTAAAGAAGCTCAATAGCATTTGAGGGAAATTACTTATAGTCATAAACCTACTGTAAAGTGTTCATGAAGGTCTCAGATATAATGCACACCTTTTAGATTTTTGATATTTATTACAATAAACTGTCAAATCATGCAATGCATTTCATTACCGAATGGGCTCAAACACAATATTTACCAAAATTTAAAGCTCAATAGCATTTGAGAAGAATGACTTACAGTCATAAAACCAACTGTAAAATGTTCATGTAGGTCTCAGTTACAATGCACACCTTTTACATTTAAATTTTTATTAAATTATATATTTTGTGTTTGTGCCCATTCGGTAATGAAAAATAGCAATATTTGATTTGATAGTTTATTGTAATAAATATAAAAAATCTAAAAGGTGTGCATTATAATTGAGACCTACATGAAAACTTTACAGTCAGTCGTGTGACTGTAAGTTATTCTCCTCAAATGCTATTGAAGTTAGAAAGGTGTATACCAATGTTGCATGTAACTTTAGTAAAACTGTAAATGTAAAAAAAAACTGTAAAACTGCATTTTTCCATCTCAAAAATATATCTAAATTACGAGCTATGCTCTCAATGACAAATGCAGAAATGTTAATTCATGCGTTCATGACCTCAAGGTTAGATTATTGTAATACTTTATTTGGTGGTTGTTCTGCACGCTTAATAAACAAACTCCAGCTTGTCCACATTAGAAGAATGGCATCTACGCTAATATTAGTCTGTTTTTCTCTTATGCCGAGGTCACCGTAGCAACCAGATCCAGTCTGTTTCCAGACCAGATGGTGGATCAGCACCTAGAGATGACCTCTACAGCCCTGAATGTCGGCCACTGGGACCAGACCACAGGAACCAGTTGAGTCCTCTGCACAATGTGACTTTGCTGCAGCCTGGAACTGAACTGCTGGTTTCGTCTGGCCAGAGGAGAACTGGCCCCCCGACTGAGCCTGGTTTCTCCCAAGGTTTTTTTTCTCCTTTCTGTCACCGATGGAGTTTTGGTTCCTTGCCGCTGTCTCCTCTGGCTTGCTTAGTTGGGGACACTTAATTTCCAGCGATATCGTAGACTTGATTGCACAGATACTATTTAAACTGAACTGAGCTGGATGATGACATCACTGAATTCAATGATGAACTGCCTTTAACTGAAAATTGAGTGTTTACTATTGTCACTTTGCATTATTGACACACTATTTCCTAATTAATGCTGTACAGTTGCTTTGACACAATCTGTATTGTTAAAAGCGCTATATAAATGAAGGTGACTTGACTTGACTTGACTTTAGAGACGGTCCCTTGATTTGCGAATATCGAACATCCAACGTCAAGCCAACTTTATGCCAGTGCCTGTTTTCAGCTGAATTTCCGAACTGCTCGGCGACAGCTTGATTCAATTCGCGACCGATTTTGTGAACAGGTTCAGTAGCAATTCGATCACACAACATAATATATCAGCATTTCTTACGATTACCAAGCTCTTCTTTAAGTAAGCTATGTAACGTTAACTTTGCATTTAAACATTTAGTATGAGTTATTAAACCAAATTAACCATGGTTTTACTACAAATTAAACAACAACAAAAAAAACCACCATGGTTACTATAGTTAAACCATGGCAACCACAAATTAAGCATGGTTTTGCTACACTAACCATAATTTAACCATGGTTTTTGTATTAAAACTGTGGTTATACAAATGGTAATCAATACGCCAAAAAAACTGATTGGACTCTTCCTTGGTAACTGTTATGACACAAACTGACATTAACTAGCCATAAGCCGAACCTCTTTTAAACATTGCTGAACCTCTCTACAAGCGCGACGCGACGCAAATAGAACGCTTCCGACACACTCGCTTGCAGCGTTGACAGCTTCAGCATTCGAGTATCTCGCGTCGCGTCGGTAGTAGTGTACATGTGGCATTACTGTGCTTCTAAAAAGCTTCTAATAGGATTCCGGTTTAATCTCTTCGCGTGGAGTAAATCAGGTGCGCTTGTCAGTTTAGTTTGCTCGGTTATTGTTGTCACTCTGTTGTGTTCAGCCGTGTTTAGTTGCAGCGCGTTGAGCTCTCTCGGCCACCGTATAATACAGCATAATCAGCACACATTAAAATGGCACCACTGTCATGATGAATTTAGATATCTATAAGATTAAGACCTAAATCTGATGCTTAATAAGGAGGATGAGACTTAATGTTAAAGGTAATTTCAGTGTAAACATGTTTGAAGTTAAATAAGGAGAAGAAACACGATCATAAAATGATTGTAACATATTCATAAAAAGACAATCAAAAACATCTTGCCATTGCAGCTGATGCATCAAAAGAAGCATGATGATTTATGGAAAAGGAGAGAAAACTCCAGGATAATGTTAACACTTCTTGGCCTTGCAGGGAGATACATTGTATCTGCCCTTTGGAGTTATTGTACTGACTGAGCAAGCAGAAGTCAGCTTGAAGAACTGATACAAGAAACATGCCGATAAGCACATCATTTGTGGAAGTGTCAATAACCCATATGAGAGAGTCGACAATGTCTGCCCTGTACTTCTCTTGTATTACACTGACCATGTACAGCTGGAGGGCTGACACCAGCATCACTGAAAGTAGCATTCAAGCCTTATTCTTCCTTATGCGATACCCTTCTTAAAGTTTCTTTGAGAATTAAATAATAAATACAGTGTGAATCTACACCATTGTCGGCAGTATAGTGTGAGAGGCTGCCATATAAAGTACAGCATTCTCTTTGGATTCCTCATTGTAAACACATTCAAAAGGGCTTACTTTGTTGTTTAATTTGTGTTTAAGAGGGCAATTTTATGGTGATTTGTAACAGTCCTAACAAAGAGCTACAATTATTGTAGGCGGTAAACAATTTACCATTCCTTGACTAAATCACACCCTTCATAAAACTTGCTATATCAGAAATTCAACAGATTATGTAACACTTAACAGAAAACAGTAATTTCCATATTTTATCAGTTGCCCAGGACTTTGTTCCACATCTAATGATTACATGATTATTCACAGTGAAACAATACAGAAAAGTCACATTGCTTGTTTTTTAATCACCAACTGACAATAAGTGCATTATGCAGTACATCCAGTGACATTTTATAGGATACTCCTTCAATTGTAATGCAAGCACAACAATTAATCACTCATCTGTACACACAAACACACCTTTAACAAGCAGGCAGTATTTTCATAACAAACTTTGTAGCTTTTAAGAGTCATCTGATTCCATAATGTGAGCAGTTGCAAGCAAGTCAGCTTTATAAATATTTAAGCAATATGCAGTCCATGCATATTCAACCCCACCCTATTATCCAGTGACATTAATATTAGAGCAACTACAGTAGTCGTTTGCAATGCACATTTGAACCTATTCAAGTATAAAGAGGGTGACAGCTTAGGCTTGTACAGACAAGACAGTTTTTCCACTTGGAACGCCTTCCTTTTGATATTTGAGCACACATGGCTTACATGATGGCAGGGAAAACAACCGTGGTAGAGCATGCGAAAGTATTGCTCATAATATTGTACATAGTGAATGCTTTTGCAGCATAAATGTATAATTTTGGGAACTTTTATATTCAGTGAGTTGTTTATTGTAGTAATTAAACGGACTGCAAGAAGACCCATGCAGAGAGTGCTTGAAGAAAGTAGTCTCATTGGGCCTCATGCTCTGTTAACCTGATCCGAGAAACTGAGCGCTAAAGACCAATGAATTGCAAGCAATAGAGGTGACATCATCCTTGTTTAGTTCTGCCAAAGACACAGTGTCGTACCAAAAATGGTTTTAATAATCCTGAAAATGGATTCAATTATTCAGGCATGTTTGATATAAAATGGTTTACAAGCAGATGTCTGTTTTAAATGTTATTAGACTCCAAAGCCTCACTTTAGTCTGCTTTTTATTATGAGTGAATACTTAACATTTAGTTCTTGTGCTGCAAAAGAATGTAAAGAATAGTTTTATTGTCCTGTATCAACCCCAGTTTGCTTTCACTGCTTTGCAATTACGTAGATTTACCAGGTGCCTCAAGTTAAGCCTTTACAAAGCGTGAGCATTTCCGTCATTGAACTGGGCTGAAGGTATTGGTATCATTTGATATAAAAGGCTGCTTGCACACCACATTTTCCTCTGGGGGTGGGGGAAGGGACTTGATACTCTGCAGTGTCCTTTCTCGTCTCTCGGGAGATCACACTGCTTAATCAGTGTTGACTTCTTTCAGTGGTTCCTATCATACTCATGAGGGTCTGTTCTGTTTGAAAGTGTCTTTATCTTCTGTGTTAATTGTATATGAGAGCATAAAGGAAATATGATGCACTGAACAGCCATTACTTAGGTTGTTGTGCAGAGCAGTTTGGTCAAAGATGTGGCACAGCTGTTTGCACACGTGCACCATGATCCTGTGGCCCCTTTTTTCTCTTGAGAATTTCCTGTGAATTCTCTGTTTCCCCAAAATTGGTCTCTGGTGACACAAGAAAAAAAATCTAATCTCCTGAAATAGCATTGTAATTAGTATGCCGTTGTAATAAAATGCTGTGAACTCTTTATGCTTTATGTCCATGTTTTGACTTGTTATCGAAAGAGAGTATTCACAACATGAGTGATTTTTTTGAATTCCCTTTCTTACTAGCATGCAATTTAGCTAGCATTGTGCAATCGTATTATTTCGACTACGATTGGATTATTAGTTTTTCTAATTTTCCTCAGATTGTGAAACATTGTGCTGTTTCCCATCATATTTTTACCAACAGTATTTCAGTATTTCGCCAGTCTCCATTATAGCTGATGATACTCTTCCATTAACAAACATTTTCAGCAGGATTGAAGTGAACAGCTACTGATGATGAGATATAGTTCACATTTTTGTATGCTCACACTTTGTTATTGTATTATGGAGTTGGGATTCTGAAATAGAGTGCTGCTGAGATGACAGATTTTTATAGACTAAAACCTGCAACCAAGAAATTTTAGCCTTTACCATTTCGCAGTCCTGAAGTCAATGGGTTTTTTAAATCTGTTTTTGATTTGGTTAAGTTTAGTGGCTAACACAAGCTCAATATAGCCTATTTTCATATTTTACTCTATGACATGCTGTATAATACATCAGTAATACCTACTTGTGATTTTTTTAAAAACATTTACCTTGGCTTAAAAAATGCAGTTCCTAATAAGTAGCTAAATGGGACTAGGTTGTTGGAGACATTAAATATCTTCACGCCAAACAAGAAAACGTATCTACTCATAGTCTGCTTTTACAGCCTTGTTGCGTGTATAATCATGCTCTTGCTAACTATTTTAACTCAAAATTTCATGAACTAAACTTTCATGTCACAAGTACGCAACGACATAAAATTGAATCCAATGAATCACGACTTTCACTCACCACATGATACGCAATAAAATACTTGTGAATCAGACAAGCTGGCATCTTTTCTGTGCATTCTTCTAACTTCACTGGTAAACTTTATAGTTAGAAGAATACACTACTCACGGTGGTATGATGACAAGCAAATGTACAATTCTTGTACCCAAATAATACAATGTAAAAAAGAAGGCACAAACCAAATGCTTTAGTCAGTGATTCAACATACTATAAGAGCAGTTGACGCCACATAGAGGGTTTTTGCATTCTCTAACAGCCAAGACTTAATGGGTTTCTCTTTATGGTTTGTCTCTATGCTCCTTGCTGTTTGTTTCACAGCTGCTGGTGAAGTGGGGTCACAATTTCATTTGGTCATCTGTCAGGACAACTCTTAATATGTCTCAGTAGATTGGAGCCATCTCTGGCATCTCTGGCCTTTCCACTGAACTTATTTCACCCAGTCGTGCATTCCACATTCTAGATGCGCTCCACAAGGAGCATTTCACAGCTGCGCGGGAAGGAGCTCAGAGTTTGGATGGATGTGCTTCTGCTCTGTGCCATCAACAAGTGTCTCTGTCAGCATTTGTCACGTGGTTCAGTGGTGTGAAAAAGTGGGCGTTGTATTTGATTCCTGTTCTTTTATCTTTGCAGATTGAGCTACATGTGCATCTTGATGGTGCTATTCGAATAAAGACCATCGTAGAAGTAGCAAAGTAAGTGACGTATTCCAATTACATACTGTGATAAATACACTGAAAACCATTCATTTAAATGTCTTTCCTAGTGACTCAGAAGCTCCTTAAAGGAAGAGTTCACCAAAAATGAAAAATATTATTTACTCAGAAAATATTATTTTAATAATTATTTATATAATTAGTAATTATGTATGTAATAATATTTAAAGTAAGCATTTATAATAATATTAAGTATGTTAATTATTTAATGTTTAATTGCATTTGTATGTAAAATTTTGAGCCTTCTGAGGCCAAAGAAACAGTCCCAAATTTAAGTCACTATTAACTGCTAATTTCACCTTCACTACTGCTCTAACATCAAATATGAACTACTGACAATGACTTTATAGGTTTATACAATGATTCATTTTGACAGCCTGTGGTCAATAAGGAAGTTGTGATCTGTTTTTGGCTGAGAATTAAAGATTTTGTCATGCTTAGGCTATTCAAAGTTATCAGATAAGCTTCAAATTATTGTTTTTATAGTGAATCAACAGCACCATGTGTTCTTGGGTAAACAGACATTATGACCTAATTCTAGGCAATTCTGTGGTATTTCCATTAAATCATTCAAACTCTAACCAGTGACCTCTGGTGTAACTGTGTCTCAGGCGGCGGGGAATCACTCTACCTGTGAACGGCGAGGATGAAATGAGAGACCTGGTTATAATGCATGAGCCGGCCACACTCACAGAATTCCTTGGCAAGTTCAATCACTACATGCATGCCATTGCGTAAGTAGTTGTGCCGAGAAAAGGTCTGCTGGCTCTAAATAAGTTCTGTTGCTAATTTGCTTGAAGAATGCATGGAAGCCTTATCATTTAAACTGCAAAAAAACCCACACAAAATATGATGTTTTTCCCTTAATTTTATGACATTGTTAAATTTTTTCCCTGAAGTTTTTGCACCAACAACAGTTACATTTTAGTCTCTCAGCTCAGGACTATTCTCCCCTCACAGAAAAAAGGTTTCTGAACAGCAATTTCACGTTTTGGCGAATTTGTATTATCTTTTGATTTACTTTCTCGCACAATATGACACTGACGATTAGGTTTATGTGCGGACCTTCATGCTTATTGTTTTTATAATAATCATTTGTTTTCATTCAAATAACATTGTATAAATTCATACTAAATCACCACGTCATAAAAGTCTTATGATATCAAGCTCGGGTTCAATAATTGCTCTTTTTTAAACATTTTGAAAATTAGAGTAAAAAGGTACAAAATATACCCTTTCAAATATTTTATACTAAAATCTACCATTTAGGGAATAATATGTACAATTTAGGAACTGATACAGTATGTACCTTTAAGGTACTAATTAGGGATAAATAAGGTAAAGTATATATTTGGAAAAGATATACTGCCCATTGGCAGCTTTTGTACTTTTTTTAATTTCATAGTATATTTATCTCTTTCAATCTGGAAAAAATGTAATTCCTCATTAATCAAATTATTCTAGGCCACTCTATGGCTGTTGCACCCTTCACCACATGGAAGTAAATATTTAATTCCATTGATGTTAACTCAATTACTGGCACAAATCTGAAGCATTGCTCAAGTGGTTAATAAATAAGAGAGCCTCACCATATCACTAGTGGTGGTTAGACCCTCAAGGGCATGGTATCCTTTCTGATGTCCTGCAGACATCTTTACATGCAGCTCATGTCACACCTTCATGACGTGTCGCTATAGCAACGGACATATAACCTCTGCACAGGCTTTTCTGTGGCTTTTCTACACGTTTCCACTCAGATTTACAAATGTGAGAGATAGATGCTTTGACACGAAGACCTGAAAAGCAGTGCAGCCGGTAGTTTTGTGGGCCGGCAGCTGACATGCTTCGTTGAAAATGAACATCTAGTCCTCAGAAGCTTTAAAAGGGCCTTGTTTACAGCATGCGCCTCCCCCACAACAACATGGGGAACTCGCTAGCTGTTTTTGGCACCCACTGGATTCTTTATTGTCCAGTGCTGTAGACAGGTTCAATGCATGTCATGTGGTGTAACCTGAAAACATGCTTTGTTGTTGCAGTCAAATAGCCCTTTTATTTAGCACTTTAAAGCATGATGTGACTCAGAGAGGGAATTTAAAAAAAAATAAAAATGTGCAAGTGAACTGTTTAAAATAAGTATTATAGCATAAGCGTTACTGATTTGTACAAATGATTATGGCCTTTGGTATCTTGCTCCAGTTGTGGGTGTTTTTGGAACAAGTGCATGGTTATGCAATAAAGAAGGATTTTATCTGAGTGTGGAAGTGAAAGTAACGCCTAGTTCATTCAGTTAATTCAATCATTCACATAAAATCATGTGCATTCTTCATGAAGCATGTGCTATCTTTGTTCATAAATGAAGAAGTCATGAATGCTATCATTTTATGACATCATAAAACAACGCAAGCATTTATAGCCTACTGCAATCTGTTTGAATATTCTTAGATGATGCAGATGATGTTTTATAATGATGTTTGATGTTTTGGGCCACTTTAATTACATACAAACAAACACACACACACACATAATAACCTCATGACATTTACATTTATTCATTTAGAAGATGCTTTTAGCAAAAGCAACTTACAAGTGAGAAAATTTTAAAGAAGCAATTCAAAGGACAATTCAGCAGCAACATAAGTGATACAATACAACATTTCTTAGAAAAGCACAAGCTAAAAAAGAAGATTCTTGGTATGTGTGTGTTTGTGTGTATATATATATATATATATATATATATATACAAAAAAACTGATTGGACTCTTCCTTGGTAACTGTTATGACACAAACTGACATTAACTAGCCATAAGCCGAACCTCTTTTAAACATTGCTGAACCTCTCTACAAGCGCGACGCGACGCAAATAGAACGCTTCCGACACACTCGCTTGCAGCGTTGACAGCTTCAGCATTCGAGTATCTCGCGTCGCGTCGGTAGTAGTGTACATGTGGCATTACTGTGCTTCTAAAAAGCTTCTAATAGGATTCCGGTTTAATCTCTTCGCGTGGAGTAAATCAGGTGCGCTTGTCAGTTTAGTTTGCTCGGTTATTGTTGTCACTCTGTTGTGTTCAGCCGTGTTTAGTTGGCTTATTGCACGATGGTGTTGTAGAGGCGGGGTTCATCGCTCATGTTATCTGATCATAAGGCGTGTTCTTTGTCCGCGTCTGGGTTGGAGTGTATAAAAGTAAAGCGCATGGGGAAGCTGAACTTAGCCGCTTGAGCTGACAGGTTCCGGAGAGCGCGTGTTCAAGTTATATCACGACAGATTTACACTTCGAGTGAAGACAATGGCAGAAAATAATGGAAAACCAGCATTTGATAAACCTAAGGTTAGTATAGTGTCATTACTGTTATTGTTGTTATTCTTAACATACATTCGGGGTTGAATGCTGTTTTAATAAATTGATAATACTACGGTGGCCGAGAGAGCTCAACGCGCTGCAACTTAAGAAAACACATGCAAATTGAAAAAACACCA